TGTTTTAAGCCATGAGGGTTTATGATGTATTGCTGAGGCATGCGCAGAATTAGCTAACTCAGAAATCCAGGTCCACGAGTGCTGCGGAACAATACAAGCCCGTGATATTTATGGAGGGCTTTCTCAGACACTGGGGCTACACTGAATTTTTCCTGAAGGTCAGCTACAGGTGCTACACCAAGGCAATGCTGCTGCTGCCATGGGAAGCAAGGTAAATGCTGAAATTTCAAAACTGGTCTGGAGACTGCTGTTCCCACCAGTAAGGGCAGAGATGACTGCTTTTGGAAGTTTCTGTATGCCTAAGCCATCCATCTGAATCCATCCTTCCTCCAGTATTGCTAGCCAGTGTCACCTCCATCAAAGGTGTCAGTCAGGGTCAGAGATCACAATGAATGCACATTTCAGCCATATATATATATATATATATATATATATATATATATAATATACATATATTTATATATAGCACTAGCTCATGGACCTGCTCATCTGAAGAGCTAGTTAGTCCAAGTTCAAGGCACCTGTGGAGCTATGGCACTGCACTTGTTCAGCTGCATCTCCTGTTATCCACAACAGTATCACCACAACATCACACCCTGCTGTGCAGGCACAGTCCCTTGCTTATTGAGGCCCCGTGGATGTCACTGAGATGCACCAAAGAACCACAGCCTTAGACATCACCCTTTGTGAAAGCTACAAAGGAAATAAAATTACTTTTATATATGCAGAGATACCATCTAATAATTTATAGCTAAATTCAGTGCAGCCATTTTTCTTTTGCTAAATTAGTGTCATTGCTACTTGCAGAGCAGCAAGTGCAAGAGTTAGTGAAAGCCTCTGTATTTATTTAACCAGGGAAAGAACCCTTGAGATGTATACATAGCAGATTAGTCAAACTGAGCAGAACACTCTGAAAATTACTGCCTCAAGATGAATTCTTTGATTTCTTACTGATGAACTCTATGGAGGAGTTATCAATGCAAAGGGAAGGAAATCTTTTAAAAGTCCCAGCCGCTTGTAAAAATTCTGAAATAAGCTCCACTAAGTTAAAAGTGTTTAGGAAAAGAATGTAATTCTAGTTTCTAGTCACCATTGCAAGACAGATTTATAATGACTCATAAAGTATTCATTTGATTATATACTGCTGTATTGTTTTCAGCACCCTATCATAGAAGAGTCTGCTGTCTTCATTAATGTTTACTGCAAGCTTTCAAATGCTTTTGGACTTGATGGCTTATTTGTTTTGGTTTTTTTTTTTTTTAAACGAGCTGTTTCGTTCTAGTAGTAACACGGCAGTTCAGTAGTAGTAGATGGAAGTTAAGAGCCAATTGCTACTTCCATTCCAAAATGTTTTTCTGGAGTTGAAAGCAAATCAGGTTGGAATTTGACATATAGACCCAAACATATTTTTAACTTGCTGTATTCCATTAACTTATTCCTACAGATGCTATACATGAAAGTACCAGATGACATTTGTTCAGACTTCCTGCAGAATAAGACTTATATTATTCTGAAGAATAATAGTCACTTAATCCTTTGTGTGGATGGCTGCTCTCAGCAATTAGTAAGCAAATGCAAACAGCTGAATTATTTAGCTTTGCAAAGTGGCTGATGTTAAGCTTGATGGTTGAACTGTACAAGCGTATGTCTGCTGAAATCAGGGCAGCAACAAATGTCAAGTAAACAGCAATTATCCCACAGCTATTTGGCATTTTAGGTATTTCTCATGTGAACGTGACAGTAATTTTAGGGGGGTTACAAATTTCAAGAAGGATGAGTTTTAAAAAATGCACAACAATAAGGATTTTAGTTTATATATAAGCTTAAGTTTCTAATATCAAATCATGTTCCTTTTTTAAAGAATTCTTTACTGGAGTTCAGAAGAAATGAAGTTTAAATTTTAAAATGTATTTTTTTGTACATGGAATTAAAATAATTTGGTTTTTTTCTTCCCTTTTCTTCTGCTGCCAACTTCCCACTCAAATTGTGTACACTTTGGATGCTGGTGCAGCAGATGTATTTGGCTAGAAAAAAACATGCCTTTTAGACTACAGCAGTAGTATTTGTTTTCAAAGTCGCCTTTATGTCCCAAAGACCTTTCTGCAGGATCTCTGTCCTTGCCCCTTGAAGTGTTCTAGGCAGGGCTTGTTCATGCAGAGCAGGTAGTTGCAGAGGAGGGAGTTTCCTTTGCATCTCCTCATGTACCTGCTGTTCTGCACAGCAGAACCACCTCTGTGACCAGTCCCCTTGAACCCACCTCCCCGCAAAGTATGCAGAAAGTAAAGGATTTGCACTTTTGGATCTAGTATCTTCACTCAGGATATGGAGACAGCTCTTCCACCAGTGCAACAAACTCCAGAGACAGCAAAGGAAGATCACCCTATTTGGAAAATCAGAGCTATGAAATATTAATATCCTTGCTGCATGGCAGAGTCAGTAGCCTTGAATGACTGCCCTTACTCCTGTACACAGGAAGTGGCTACAGGTTTCTTCTTAACTTTTTTCCTCTGTTGTGCACTTGGGAAATGAATGGAGAAGGCTACTTTCCACCACCTGCATGGTGTATGGGAGGATCTGCTTCTGGGAATGTTATGATTAATAACTATGACAGGGAACTCTTATGGTAAGAGGTTTCTGAACATCTCTGAGACATCTGAATCATGATATTATTCATAATGTGCAACCTAAAACCTGATAACTAAATATGGGGTTAAAGTCAACTTTCTGCAAAGCTTTGATGGATGCTGTTCCAAAAGGCTGGAAGATTGTTTAGTTGTCAGCTACCGATGAATAATCATTCTTAGTCACTATCCAGTGACTCAGCCTGTAAAATCCCAAGAGGCTGTCACGTCTTCTATGTATACTAGTGGATAAACCTCCACATCTGGCAGCCAGGACATCATTTAGGCAAAGATGCTGTTTATGAAGCAATCTTTGGACACAGTGAAACAGTCTTCAATAGGTACAGTGTGAGGTCATGGCAATCTGGGGTATCCCTTATCTTAGAGATGTCAGCTGTGCTAAACACGGACTTGGAACATGGACAAGGAAAGACCAAAAAACTCAGAAGCCCAATTTGGATCAGATCTTTTCCCTGCCTTCTTCCCATTCTGTTGCTAAAGTAAGACTGAGAAATCTCAGTCAGGAAAGGATGGCCCACTTTCCCGGCCTTGTGCTTGAAACTGTAACATAAAAGAAAAACAAGCTCTCTTGACAGCTCTGTCAGTGATGCTTAGAAATGCTGGGACTCCACCGAGCCCTCGAAACAGATGAATTAGGTGCACAATGCTCAACGAGGACCAATTGTGCTCTTCAGGTCTCATTTGCCACAGTTTCATCCAGGGGGGTGAGGGAGGACATTCTCTACTGACAGAATGCTGCAGGTCACCTCAGTACAGATGTAATTAGACTGGAAAAACTAGAATATAGCCATCCTATTTTGTGCCAAATGTAGCAATGGGAGAAAGCAGTATACTCATACTTTGATGCCAGTAAAATACTCCTGGTGTAGCTATAATATGTATCTTAAGCACTTTGGAACAGCAAGAGTGATTTTTCCTATATTTTTACAGTGTATATACAGTCTGAAGCTGTATTTAAGACAATAACTAAAGATGTTGTTTTCTAAAATTCTGAAGAAATTTTTTTCTGACAAGGCCAGAGATACCACTACTGCTCAGGCTACTATTCACTGGACAATTTGGTTCTTCTGCCAGAGGACATAAAATAACTACCTTGGTTCCTGGTGTGGAAGATAACTTCCTGACACGGTAATTAAGCCTACCAGGCATGATGCCCTGCTAGACCAGCTGCTTATGAACAGAGAAGGGAGTTGTCATAGCTGGAGGCCATTGTGGGCACAGTGACCACAAAATGATAGAGTTTCCAGTTCTTGGTGAAGTAAGGAAGGGATCAACAAAACCTCTGCCTTGGACTCCCAGAGGGAGGACTTTGGCCTACTCAGGTCGCTGGTTCAGAGAGACCCTTGAGAAACAGTTCTTAATAACAAAGGGGTCCAGGAAACCTGGACGTCCTTTAAGAAGGGAATCTTGAAGGTGTAGGAGCAGGCCGTGCCCATGTGCCAACAGACAAGCTGTGGGGGAAGAAGACCAGCCTGGCTGGACAAGGAGCTTTAGCAGTGACTCAGGTTAAAAAAGAGTGTTTATAACCTTTGGAAGGGGCAGGCAGTTCAGGAAGAGGACAAGGACATTATTAGATCATATGAAGAGAAGGCTCAGCTAGAACTCAATCTGGCCGCTGGTGTAAAATAAAATAAAAAGCCTTTTTATAAATACATAACAGCAGAAGGAGTGCCAAGGAAATTCACTATTCTTTGTCAGACCTGGGGGTGGAACACAGTCACCAAGGATGAGGAAAAGGCTGAGGCACTTTATGCCTTCTTTGCCTCGGTCTTTAAGAGTAAGACCAGTTATCCTCAGGGCCATCAGCCCCCTGAGCTGGTAGACAGGGACAGGGAGCAGAATAGACGCCCTGCAGTTCAGGAGAAAGTTGTTGAGGACCTGCTGTGCCTCTTAGACACTCACAAACCTGCAGGACCAGATGGATCCATCCAAGGGTACTGAGGGAGCTGGCAGAGGAGCTCACCAAGCCACTCTCCATCATTTATCATCAGCCCTGGTTAACTGGGGATGTCCCAGATGACTGGAGATTGGCAGATGTGACAGCCATCCACAGGAAGGGCTGAAAGGAGTATCCAAGGAACTGCAGGCCTGTCAGGCTGATCTGGGCGCCAGGGAATGTTGTGGAACAGATCATCTTGAGAATGGTCACACGACACATACAGGACAACCAGAGGATCAGGTCCGGCCAGCGTGGGTTTAGGAAAGACAGGTCTTGCTCGACCAACCTGATCTTCTTTTATCACAGGGTGACCCACCTAGCAGAAGAGGGAAAGGCTGCGGACACTGTCTACCTGGACTTCATCAAAGCCTTTGATTCTGTCTCCCACAGCATTCTCCTGGAAAAACTGGCTTACACAGGTGCACTCTTTGCTGGGTTAAAAACTGCCTGGATGGCCGAGCCCAGAGAGTGGTGGTGAATGGAGCTACACCCATTGGTGGTGTTCCTCAGGGCTCAGTAGCTGTGCCAGTCCTGTTTAACATCTTTATTGGTGATCTATATGAGGGGATTGAGTGTGTCCTCAGTAAATTCATGGATGACACCAAGTTGGGTGGGAGGGTAGGAGGGCTCTGCAGAGGGATCTGGACAGGTTGGATTTATGGGCTGATATCAATGCCATGAGGTTCAACAAGGTCAAGTGCTGGGTCCTACACTTCAGCCACAACAACCCCATGTAGGCTTGGGGCAGAGTGGCTGGAAAACAGGTTAGTAGAAAAGGACCTTGGGGTGCTGGTTGACAGCCAACAGTCAACCAGCCAGCAGTGTGCCCAGGTGACCAAGAAGGCCAATGGCACTCTGGCCTGTATCAAGAATAGTGTGGCCAGCAGTACCAGGAAAGTGATTGTCCCCCCCCGTACTGAACACTGGTGAAGCTGCACCTTGAGTCCTTTATCCAATTCTGGGCCTTTCACTGCAGAAAGACCTTCAGGTGCTGGAGCAGGTCCAGAGGAGGGTAACAAAGCTGGTGAAGGGTCTAGAGTGTAAATCCTACGAGGAGCAGCTGAGGGAGCTGGGATTATTCGGCCTGGAGAAAAGGAGACTTGAGGGAGACCTCACCACTCTGTACAACTGACTGAAAGGAGGTTGTAGGCAGGTGGGAGATTGGTCTCTGCTCCCGAGCAACTAGTGACAGTTGTCTGGGAGGTCATCTGGTCAAGAGGTCAGAGCCTCAAGCTGTACCGGGGACATTAAAGCTGGACATCAGGAGGAATTTCTTCACAGAAAGGGTTAAGCACCGGAATGGACTGCCTAGGGAGGTGGTAGAGACACCATCCCTGGAGATGTTCAAGAAATGACGGACACGGCATTTGATACCATGGTCTGGTTGACAAGGTAGTGATCAGTGAAAGGTCTCTGAGGTCTTTTCCAACCTAAACGATTCTGTGATTCTGCAATACAAACCCAAAGTATTCTGAACATGTATAGGTCTGTGGGAGGATTTTGAGTCTGCTCTACTGAAAAAAACACTGAGAACAGAACGTATTTCATTCTCATTTCACTCAGATTTATTCAATTGTCACAGGTTTAAAAGAAAAAACTGTGTGCAGCAGTCAAGTATTTGAGAAATGGCAATTTCTCAGTCAGGTTCAGGAACTTCATTGAAACAGCATCTGTTCACATTCCCTTGAAATCTCCTTCCCAAGGACAACATTCACATGGTGGGACAGGATCTGGGAAGCTCTTGCCAAGGTAAAAGCATTAGGGGAATACATAGGCAGATGTGACCAGTTGCAGGGAGCACTGGGACAGCTCTGCAGAGGAACATCTGGCACGACATGATGAAGTAGGAAAGCGTTTTCTTTCTCTGGCTCTAAACAGTGTTAGTCACAGTGAAGATCATGTGCTGGTACACTGTGGTGATCCAGGCCAGTGTCTGCCAGGGGGCAAGGAACATTCAGTTTCCCTACAAATTCCCTATGGCATGTTGCATGTCAGGTGGAATATCCTTCTCTGCTGCCTGTGAGGCATCTCAGTTCTTTAAGCAGAGACAATGATTCAGATCACAGGCAGAAGGGAAGTGTGAATGTTAGCCCAAAAAGGTAGATCTTGATTGTATATGCCTTGGAGATAAACATGTGCAAGAAACAAACTAACTCCATTTTAGAAACAGGAACACAGTCTCCTGACAGACAGATGAGATAGCAGAGTGAATTCCCTAATTCACTGCCACCTTCCCTGCACGGGTTGCTGCTGGCCTTGCTGAGCAAAGGGCAGGATCCAGCTCTGTAGGGCAGACTGGTGAAGGCTGCCTTTGTCATCCCAGCGGAGTTCAAAACAGCAGACACAGGTAGACATGGATTCTTATTCCTGTCCAGTGCGCATCTTCAAAGACAAATCCCAGCTTCTGCAGATGAAGTCTGAACAAAGGACTACAGCAGTAAAACTACCATTAAATCAGCACTTCAACAAACTTTCCACTCTCGGTTCTCTCAAGGTCCTCCTAACTACATGCAATTTGGAGATAAGGTATCTGGAGTTTTCATCTTGGGGTTTCTGTTACCACTAAAACCTCCTGACAGAATTACAGCTGTATTAGTTACAAATATGAGATTATCAAGATCTGTATCTCAAAAGTAAAAAGGAAAAAGATTAGGCTCTTACTATCAGTATATATTTGCATGGACAATTAAACAAGAACTTTAAACTTGCATTATTAAGCACTGAAATTTTAGATAATGCCTGTGTCCACAGTTTAGTTGTTTTTTGTGGATGGATCATGATCCAGGATTCAACAGCCTGACCTCAAATTTATGTAGTGCTCAGGGGACAAGTAATGTGGTTTATTCAGTAAGAATATATTGTCATTTCTCTCTCATTCCAAAGTGTGGAACTGTCCCCCATTTTAATGTTTATGTGTTGCCCTTTCTGCAGTTTTCCTTCATTCTCCAGTAGTTACAAAGTATTTAGAATTGGATAAAAATTAGATGCTATTTATTTCTTCAATTATTATGGCTTTATTCTATTATCTGAAAGCTTCATAAAGATGCAATTATCACCATGATGACACCAGAGGCTATTACCCGATTTTCACGGTGGAGGATGAGAGGCACAGAAGTAATAATACATTTAGGGTGTGCTGCTTGAGATAGGTTGGACCTATCTGGTTTATCACAGGAGTTAATGTTACATACAGCTATGAGATCCAGGCCCAGTTCTGTGTTACTTCCCAAGGGCTTAGCACACTTGAAAAAACCAGAGTGCTAGCTCTCAAAATTAATGTTCTCTTCTCCAGGGAAGGGGAGGGAAGTGGAAGGGAAAGAGGAAAGGGAAGGGAAAGAGGAGAGGAGAGGAGGAGAAGGGAGGAGAGGGGAGGTGCATCCCACCTCGCTTTTCCTCTAAACCAGGCAAGCACGGTCACTTTCTGAGTTCATTTCTTCATCCATTAGGGAGAGCCTATGTGAATCCCTACACCCACTGCTGATTCTGCCTTGGTCAACACTTCTGAAAGTGTTGGTCAACACTTCTTCCTTCACTCCCAGTGTTAATTGACACATCTACGTTGCTTCCTGGGGTAGATGAAGGACTTCTTGTAATTGAAGGGGAATCTCAACATGTAAAACAGCAGTGCCACTGCCTCCACATCCATTAGCTCATTAGGTGAGGCAAGGGTGCTAGAAATAATTTGTAACTGTCAGGGTGATGCCACAATGAAAACTTCAAGACTTGTAAGGGAGATAAACCCCTCCCAAGTGCTGCTGATTTCCTCAAATGACAAATGCAAAAGGAATGGGGGGGAAGAGGGGAGGGAAGGAGCAGGCCTTCAAAACCATCAAAGGGAGTATTTTAACCTACTACTATATCTCCTGAGGATGTGTCCAGGATCAGCAGGCACAGCTCTGTTTTGAAGACCATGTCCCATGTGCTTTGGGATACTGGCTTGGCTTTAATTCTGGAAGTGGCATTGTGTTACTATTTCCTTCATTAAACACAGTCACCCAATGTAAAGCTACTTGGCTTAATGGACCTTGAATCTGACCCTGTGTATTAGCAGTGAAGTTCAATTATAAGCAAAAGAAGGATTTCCAAAGAAGGGCTCATAAGATTGGAATTACTTGCATACCAAATACTTATGTAGAAGAGAAAAAAACCAGGCAATGACGTGTCCTCATTGTGTTCCCAAGTGTTTGCAACACTGGGCAATTTTATATTTGCTTTTGAAAGTTTCTCATGCTTTCCCCACTGCCTCAGACTCAGAGTAAGCATAATATAGATGCAACAATGCATCAGCTGAAATTTGCGCCAGGACAGAAATCCCAATTCAGTGGGACCAGGAGGCACCTGGGGACTCCTACTTTGAACAACCCTGACAAAATTTACTAAATAGGAGCATTCCTGTTTTTCCTTCAAAGTATGGCACCTTGACTGAAAAGCACAAAAATATCCTGAGCACTGCACAGTGATATGAAGGTACTCAACCTGGCCACAGCAGCCTGAACTGCAGGCAGCAGTGTCTATCTGGTTTCCAGGTCTGCCTGTGTGATGTTGTGTTTCCATGACTGGAGAATTTTCTATTTCTGGTTAGCTGCCTTTAAGTTGTTTTGGTAGTTTAACTCCTGTAATCTATAGAAGTGTAGACACAGTGCTTGGGAAGCACGGAGAATAAAAATGGCTGAACTCTCAAACACCGGGAAAACATTGTCCCATCTAAATGCTATCAGCAACTCCAAAATTTTATCATCTTTTTATAATCAGCTCAAAGAAGAATGCTTTTATTTCACATTCAGAGCTAGCAAACTATTGTACATTGCAAGGCACAGAAGGGTAGTTCATTATTTTTCTAAGAAAAATGGCAAATTTGTGATTTAATGAAAATTATTTATTCTCAACTGAGAAACCTAGATAGAGAGAAGATGATAACTGGGGATGCTGTGTGGTATGATCCCAATTTCCCCTGAAAAGGCAGCCTTGGAGGATAAATGATGTTTATATTAGAATGCAGCCAAACTTTATAACTGAGCATTCTGCTTGCTTATGTGTTGTGAGTGCAGTCTAACTGTCTGGTGGTTAACCAAAATAAGCAGCTCTTTCTTAATCCATATATTGTTTTAAAAGCCTACAAATAAATCTCTTTATAGGTGAGGGAGCGGCTTGTCAAAAGAAGTCAATGATTCATAATGACTAAGAATTTAGGAATAGGAACAAATTTGTGCCAACACATTTCCAAGCAGTCTTAAAGGATGCTCTTTCAATCTCCATCACATAAATATGGCATAGAATATCCTTGAAGTTTATTAAGGCAAACACTCATCTTCATGCTGCCATTTGCACCGGATCAGATGTGTGCAAACTGTGAAGAATCCACTCTTGGTTTTTGGGTTTCTTTTTGTGCTAATGTGAGAAGTATGCTAATGTTTGACCTCAAAACTTATTCATATTTGTACACTAGTGTTCTCGCCCTTTGAAGGAGGACCTGAGATCTTTGCCCAGCACAAC